TATATACATATATAGATTTTCTTTCGAGATGCAAAATAAATTGAAATCAATATAATCATATTCCATATTTACGAGTCATAATCTCAATAGTAACACACCTTGGCGTTTGGAAACTTTCGCGTTCAGATCATTCGGAGCCACTGTGACCATACTGACTATCTTTATACTATTTGGTAATGTCCTATTGATTGTTAACCGAGTCAAAGTGCGTAGCATTCGATATTTTTCTTTTAATTTCAGTCGATAAGTTTGCTTTGTTTTGCGATAAGCTAGATAGTACGATACAAACCAGCTTTTTCTAATAAAGTAAGATCTTGATATAACATGAAAAAGTACACGTCGATAATACACGTAGGTAATGTATACATACATGGAACATACACATATATTCATATATTAATATATAATTATATATATTTATATCCACATCCACATCCACATACACCGTCACATGAAACCGCCGAATGCCCAAAGATTTACGTGATATGCGTCTGAAAAAACAATGACATGTCAGTGATGTCATATGTAGTTCACCCTATCGGAGCATCTTGTTATATAAATATAAATTCGACGCGCAACTTGTCAGCGACTAAAAAGTGTTTAAGTCAGAGCTCAGAGTAACAAGGTCAGCATTTATTGGCTCTTAAAACGTAAATACATTTACATATATGTACTTTTATTTATGTTCTGTTTCATATCAGGTCAATAACTTGCGACAATACACGTTCATATTTTGTTATATGCGACAGGCGGGAAGCGCGAAGTATCAAACTCTTTTGTTTCCGGTGAAACCAGAAAACGTACTATCAATCCTAAAAAAAAGCGGAACCGTAAACACTTTTGATTCGTGGAAACTCTTTTATTTTAACCCGTGTGGGTGTATTCCGCTCAGAGGCTCAGTCCCATAAAATCGTCTTGGCTTTGTACCGGGATTTGGTACTAAATAATAATAAAAAATATTCGAGTTTATGTGATTGCGATCTATACCCTCATTCCGTTTTAAAAGGGGTCCCAAAAGCAAACGCTTACTCATTGTGGTGATAAACTTTAAAACGTTAAAAAAAACCCCTAGTATGCGAATTAAACGGACACTTTCAGGAAACCATTATTCGCACTTTGCACCTCAGCGGCCCGAAAATACACCCGTAGTGACAAACAAAGGAATATATTGTTAAACGTATACGTATCTAACGTATACATTTTTAACGCAGACGTATGTATTGAGTTTAGCATTCTCTCTATATAGTTACCGGTCTGATGTGGATGGCATAATCGCGATTGCGTAATATTAAATATGTCGGCTTTGTGGTGGGGGTTTGCCGGTTTGGGTGCATTTATATGGCTGTATCGTTTAAATATAGCCCGTTGTGTACAGAAGTAGTATGTATTTATGTACCACAGAGAGCCTATAATAGTTGTCTCTACGAATATATTTATTATACATATAGATAAGTTCGTACGCTTTATTGTATTTGTACAGCGGCGGAATGCGACATAGATGATAGAACTACTACCAGACGGTATAGTGAGAATCAGTGACCGCAGAGCTTACACACCTTTCGTTACGTCGAAAGAGATATACGTGGTATCTCATACATCAGCTGTAGATGTAGGTATATCAACTTCAAACCCCACGAATACACACTGAGTGCTATTGGAAGTCGATTGGCTTCAAGTATCACGTATTGTCGTAGATACCATAGACAACTGGCACTCGTATGCACACACACCCATACAGTGCGTTTTTGCTATATGTCTATTCACTTTCATATTGTGTGAATACATAGATTCGCACGAATTCATGTTCACTCTGTGTTGATTACACGCCCCCATTCATTCAACGTCCACTTCAACATGGGATCTGCCAGCGATCTCACCAAGGATGTGTTAGTAACCCCGGCAACACGCTCAACAACAGCAGCAGCAGGAACTATAGTCAAGGATACAGTCACAAACACAAACAGTGCTAGGGCCCTGTTTACAGACAATAACAAAACAAAACAAGCACTTGAACAAGAATTGCCTTACGAAACACCGGAGAGTCGGTTTTTGCCCCGTACGCGACCCAAACGAAGCTCTGCGTCATCAGGTATGTGCAGATACGTGAGTGTATTCGTTGTACTTTTCGTTCACATACGGACATGTATGGGTACTTTTCAACGACATGATTTGTATATTCGATATATTTATATATATATATATATATATATCAATATATTGTGTAACCATTTATACTTCTAAATTCGCTTGTCCCGTTGAACTTGTGCGCTCAATATTCTACCATCGCTTTTAAATGGTCTGAGGACCGTGCCTAGGTTGATGTTGCACTTCAATTGTGTGCCAATGTGAATGAAATGTTTACATGATATATCATGTGAGCATTCTTGGTTGTGTAGTTACCTCTATTAAGTTACATCTTAAACCATAAGTATATAAATGCATGTACTGACAAACGTATCTATGGTAGCACTGCGTTGTATTGAGTTGGTACCGTTGTGGTAGATTGGTGTTTATACTGGTCGAGCTATTTTTTTGCTCACCTACGGTTGCTATGTAGGTAGCCTTGGTTCTACGGTTGCTATGTAGGTAGCCTTGGTTCTACTTATATATTGACGTACATGTCTATAGCCTCAGGAGCACAGTACAAGCATATATGGACATGTCTCGGCTGGCACTAATAACAGCCAGTTTTGAGATGTACGTTGTACGTTACAAGCGAAGCGATCAGTATTTAGTAACTTTCACTGACTTTGATAGTATA